CACGTTCACCTACAATGCCCTGTCCACAAGAAAGGAAATCGAAATTTTCGCTTCGTTTTCTTTTTTTTTTATATTCTTCTCTTCTGCACGATATAGGGTATGAATTATTATCCTTCCCTGTACTCTCGCTGCGACGAACAGTCCGATAAACGAGTCACCCTATGGCAAAGATGGGGGTCCCGAAAATCTCCTAAAATCATGTTTGTTCTCAGAGACACATCCGTGTGTAAGAAAAACCGCGGCCCTCTCCACGAAGTACGGACATATTTGATAAATAGCGTTGACTTGAGGTTGAACTTTTCATTTGCTTTGTAAACACAAGCGTGACGTCACGTGCGCATCCCACGCGACCCGACTGAAGTCTGAACTGGTGTACTATGTGTAGACAATAGGGCATTATTTTGACTTCCCGGCCGCGACGACCTTGGCGAGGGAGGACAGATGGGGGTCCCGAAAATCCTAGAATCGTGGTTTGTTCGCAGGGACACACACATCCGTGTGTAACAAAAAACGCGGCCCTCTCCACGAAGCTTACACAGGCATTGTTGTGTGACTACTGAAGATGCCTCCCGCAAGGGAGGCGAAACTGGTCAGAACTTCAGCTTGGGCGAGTTGGTTATTCATGATTCATGGAGGCGTTTATTCATGGAGGCGTTTATTCATGGAGGCGAAACGTCTAGTGAAATTGTTTTTTCCTGTTCTGTGAAGTCGGTGCTTTTATTTTAATTATGTTACCAGTCGGCCTGTGTGACCAGTGCTCATTTGAAGAATCGCCTTTGTCTTTTTTGAACCCTAACAAAAACACCCTCATAACATTTTTTTTTACTGTTCGGCTACGTTGGCATAGCCTATAATCGACATAATTTTTGCGAAAGCCTACTTTTATTTTATAATTATCTGTAACCATTTCTAATTGAAGAAGTGACAAGTATAATAGTTATATTATGATTTCATATCAAAATTCGACGAACCGGGAGATGCGAAATTCGGTGAAACAGCTTTTCAAAAAAAATATCCGGTGCCCGAAACTTGCTTATATTAAAATGTCTAACATGTGTATGTGTTCTAATACAGAAGATGAGTGCAATATGGAAACTGAATGGCCTCACAAACAATTGTCAACGAGTTAGAATTTTTGATGAATTACCCTTTGTCGAGTCATCCTACTACCGATTGGCCTCTTCAATCAATTGCCCGTCGACAAATATTGTTGTTGGTTTATTTGCCATCTGCTGTAAGGGGAGAGTGTGGGGCTCGTCAAGCCGACATCTGCCAGCATTTTCATCACGCCTCCAGCGCCTGTACCGACTGACGCCGACGAGTTGGCCTAGAAATAAATACCCACGGGCTATACTATAGCCGCTAAATATCTCTACGCGAACATGATTTGTTTTCAAAGGGGCACCCGCCTGTCGGTGCTTCTTTGAATTATACATACGTCACGGTCAAAACGTTCCGCAGCTAATGAGTGAAGGCCGACCAACCTATTTTGTCCAAATGTCCGTGTATGGGAGATGAGAATGCCACTGCGTCAAAGGCAAGACGTGTGCGAGCGTCGCTAAAAATAGAGACCACTACCGATGTTTTAGTAGGGATGAGGACGATTCGTCACATGCGCACTCGTCGCAGGACGATTTGTCATAGGACGATTCGTCACATAGGAACATTCGTCACAGGATGACTCGTAATGCGGGCAACTGGTCACATCGATCGGGCAGGGGACGATAGAAAATTGTAAATTTGAACAACTGCCCACATTCTCCGATGAGGAGTTTCACGACTTCCCAATGTGACATAAACTAGTGGTTAGAAAAACTAATCTTACAATACTCATCCGCTTTTCCTTTCATAATATTGCGACTTTTCAGCAGGCTGATCTAAGTTGCTGGCACGAGCAATAATCCGACTGGCAGCCAAATCAGTTTTTACTTTGCCTTGCATACACCTCTTCGAGAAAACCAGTAAGTATCGGAATTCTTTCTGCTGCATATGTACGAGCACCCCTTGTGCACCTGCATGGCTCCACCTCTCTCTTTTGCGATCACCTCCATCCTTTTGAATGTAGTCCGAGTTCAAAAATAGTCGCTCTTATATGACCTCCGCATTCACCGTTCGGGACGGACCCAGAAGCTAAACGTCTGCTACAAATTCTTTGACCTTGAGAAGTGAAAGACATATGCTAAGATAAGAGGTGACCCACTTTGTCAGGCCAAACCAACATTCAATGTTCGGGACCGAACCAGAAGATAAAACGTTTGTTACAAATTCTTTGCCTTTCAGAAGCCACAGACATACTAAAATATGAGGTGAGCCACTTCGTCCGCTGGAACCAAATTGAACGACACATTTTGGGGGGACGAACTATTGTAGGACCGGTTGGCCGCGTGACGAGTCATCCTATGACGAATGTTCCTGTGTGACGAATCGTCCTGTGACCAATCGTCCTGTGACGAGTGCGCATGTGACGAATGGACCGTATCCCGTTTTAGTATACATGGTTTCATTCTTAGTCAGAGCGCAAACAGAGGTTAGATGTCACAAAAACACATACACAAAGACAAAAAGCACTTTATCACGGCGCATTGTATGAGTTGTTACATTAGTGGGTGGAATCACCCAAACAAAGATAGTGAACGCCGTGGCGTTTAGGTGTTGAGCTGTTGGTGATGCTTGATCGGCGCAATGTGTCAGTCGAGCTCCAACTGAGGGTGATATGAGGCGGGGCAGCTCTGTGGTTTTACTTGTTGTGTTGCATAGTTAGTTTCGGCCGTCAGCAAATAGTGAAAAATATCTATCTATCTATCTCTCTCTCTCTCTCTCTCTATATATATATATATATATATATACAAAGGCAAAAATGCGTACTGTCAGAGTTACTAATTCGAACTTTACTACGACGTTTCGAGCGGGGACGACTCTTCATCACCTAATGAAGAACGGTCCCCGCTCGAAACGTCGGAATGAACTTCGAATTAATAACTCCGACAGTACGCATTTGTGACTTTTTATATATATATATATATATATATATATATATATATATATATATATATATATATATATATATATATATATATATATATATATATATATATATATATATATACATTTTACTAATACAATGTCTGGACATTTACACTTACCAAGTAACCATTTTCAGCTGTGATTTGAGACTGTTGCGCTTATCCCGCTCTTATTTATTTATTTTTTGTTTCTCTTGTTTCTGGCCTTTTTAGTATAGGCTTCCACCAGCTCGCTTGCGCGTGTACTCTAATTTCAAGTGAAACAAGTTTGTAAATTAGGGCGACACTATATAGGTTTGAAATCCTATACCAATTTTATTGCCATTTGGTGAGCCACGTACGAATTTTGAAATATATCTTTTCATCCAAATAATCGATTAGGAAATCGAATAGCGATTCGGACGAATTTACTACGGCGGGAAGAACGAATTTGCAAATCTCATGGCAATTAGGAAATTTCAGCCATCCTTGGTTTCCGATTGGTCGCGCTCAGTAGCGGCTCCCTCCGCACAGAGTAGCCTCGAGTCAGAATTCGCGGAGTCTCTACTGACCGGCCAAAAAAGTGCGGCGCTTCAACTGCTCCCGCCCAGACGACTTGATGTATTTGTATACGCCCATGACATCGGCCGCGATCGGCGATTGAGGTTCCGCTAGCCGACGCAAGCGTCAGCGGACGTCTCATATTTCCATACTCTCACTACAGAAACAAAAACAACAACAAAAAAATCATCCAGTTCATGCTCACTATGTTCACCACTGACAAGATAGTTGGTAGTTTACGAGTTTCCGTGCAAAGCCGATCAAAACGAGGCACCAGATCAACTTTTACGGCTGCCATCAGGAAAGATCTGGCTTGTCGCGTGCCCTCAACGTCACTCCGAATATTTTTTGTGCCCCACGCACCATCCTCTTGTAGCAATATTTTTATTGTCCCCATGTGATTTCTTTTTTATGTTCTTACTGGTGTTTGATCATAATTCGGTCATTGATATAGTTTTTGCTGCCGACCCTACCATTATTTTGACCCTCTGGCAGCAAAGGAATATTATGCCGGCATTACACACGAAATAAGAATGTAGACACTCCGTCCCATATCTCAAATTACATCACAACGTGTTTACACAACTGTAGTGCAGAGGTACGATGAGCAGGGTCTGAGAAAATATTAGTTTCAGTATTTTCAAAAGAGCGACGAAACAAAATAAAGAAAGGACCGCCAATCGGCAGCGCGTGCAAGCAGAGGCAGTAGTGACAGGAAGCGCGAGGTGTGTCTTTCGTACGGCCGGCATCAACTCACGCACTGTCCGAAGATGTACTCTGTTTTACTCGTAGGATTGCAACGCTGCGGAATGCAGGCGTGTGATTTCAGAAAGCGCGTCCTACCATTTCTACGCGCGAGTGCTCCTGCAACCCAAGCATTGTATACAGTTACGTCCTCGCGCCCGTGCCTTGGCCAGCCCCGTACACAACTAATGCAGTATCGAAAAGGCATAGTTCAAAATTGACGGTCCCACTTTTCCATACCGCTTCAAAACCCCATCTCGCTCAAATCACTTGGCAGCCGGACAATTTTGGCAGGGGGCCTCAAGTTGGGGATTATCCGGTACATTGTCCTCCCAACAATGAACGTGGGCGCGACGCGCCAAAGGGTGAACACGTGAAAGGAGGGGCGTAAGAGTGGAGAAGGAAACTCAAGGTCGCAAGCGGCGGGAAAAAGGGTTTCGAAATTGGCGCGCAGGTTTTGCAGCATTTGCTCATACGGACAGCCAACGCCGCCCTGGTGGTTCAACTAATGTTTTGTTCAAGATGGCCGCCGTGGTACCGCAGCCTTAATGTTACAACTCAGACTGTGATTTTCGGTCTAAACATATGTTTCGGCATTGTCAGTAGCTGAGCTGCCTCCGTGAGTTGCGGTGATTGGCTCTCCGAAGTGCTGTGCGTGAAAGTATACGCACAGACTTTTTCATAGTGTGCAGTATGGCTATAAATATCGAACAAAACTGTATTAAAATGAAGTTTCGAAAACACTGAAGCACAGTGATAACTTCGTGATGCGTGCTATCTGTTCGTGTTTTGTACGCATGCATGTGAAGAAGCAATCGTTTTTATGTTATCTGTATCGCATATTTCATGGTTAATGCAATAACACGCATTAATAGTAAACAAAAGCCACGGAACTTGAACGTTAAGCACCCGAGCTTCCGCTACTGCACCACCATATGTACATACTTTTGCTAAATACAACTTCATAATTGACGAACGGTGGCTGCAAGTTAACCGTTCCAGTAATATCATAATACAGCGTTTAGTATGACGAGTGTATTGCTCATGCCAGATGCGTACTCAAAAATCAGCTAAATTGGCAAAGTTCTCGTAGAAAAAATACAAGCACATACGATAACAGTTCTACCGCAAAAGCTGGCAAAAAGAAAACACGCACAAAAACTGGTTGAAATATGTCTGTATCTTTCAAAAGATTGCTGGATTACGCTTGTGTATGTTTACAAAATTTCCAGAAAACAGTTTTTTTTTTTTTTTTTGATTGACTTTCCGAATTTCCGGAAATTTTGTATTCCTAGCAATTCGTAACCAGACGCCTTTACTCAGTGCTGCGAAGATGAGGCGTACTGGAGCGCGAGCAGCTAGGCCAAGTGTGACTCAAGGGAGCCTGCAGGGTAGCAGGTGACTGTCGATGCGCGCAGCTGGCTTCCGAATGACCAAGCGTAGTTCCCCACGTGTGATCTCATGACGTCACGGGTCCTGAATAAATTTAAATGTGCCTAGGTAATTCTGATGAGCCGGTCGAGTACACGAGTCCCATCCGTGCATGCATCCGAACTCATCCCTAATCATTACGTAACCGAGCGTACCAAATCATAATCCAGGCCTAATGAATGCATTCTGTGAGACAAGTATTTTTTTTCTCATCAGGCGAATCTGGAAGCCAGGTGTACGGAGCCCTGCGCCGGGGAGTCTTCGAAGGAAGCATCCACACCGCCGGGGACGATTTCTACGTGGAACGAGCGAGCAACTTCTTCAACGGAAGCGCACCGTTTCACTCGGTCCTCTACTCGGCCAGGGACGTCCAGTTCCCGCTCGAAGGAACCGGCGGAAGCCAACGACGCCGCCAATGGTGCGGCCTCTACGGGCACCGGGAGCGTTGGATGAACCGGGTCCTCGACTCGTTCGGCAAGAGAAAAGTCAAGGTAAGCTGCACGAGCCGAGTATTATAACTTATATCGATGTCCCTTTGTGAGACATGTTTGGTACACATTCTAGAAAAGCGCTGCGACAATTTTTCGTTTGTTTTGTTTTTACTTTGAGTATATATTATTTAGAATTATTCCTCGACATTCATGATCTATAAAACACGCGTTCGTTGCTTGTTCGCTTTTCTGCACAAAATGGCGGTCGCAGAAAAAAAATTCAAGATTAAACGAGTAACGTTCACCTCCTCAACACGCAACGAGAAAAGGCGGATACATTATCTGGAGCCGATAATATGTCGTCAATAGTCACGCGTTGCGGTTGGCAAAGCACAGAGCACGCACTGAGTTCCATGGCATTGTTAAGGTTCGGCTGGTCCCCGTCACTGCAGCGATTCAGCGCCTGCATCCACTACCCGAGTGCAAGTCGAGACATTTGTTGTCACGAGCCCAAATCGAATGCTCACGCGGTGCTCGTGCCAACTGTACGAGTCACTTTTGAGTATGGCCATCGCGGCTGTCGTAAAACTTGATGACAAAATTCTGGGGGTCGCGTTGTTGGCGCTGTCAACAATCCCCACAATTTTGCCATCAAGTTTCGCGAGGGTGAGATTGAGAGACCGTCGCTTTGATCCCTCAAATTTACGCAGACACCGAGAATCTTCTCGGTCAGTCGCGTCGCGTGCGAGTGTGCTTGGTTCCGCTAGAGCCAGATAAGCTTCTGTAAAAAGTGATAAACATTCCAGTCCAATATTGTTGCATGGCCCTTAAAAAAACGTTGGGCATAGCTGGTCCCGGGCACCTTAATTATTATCATTACACAGCCAGTGAGATTGTGACATTGAGCGAAGAGCGATTCACGCAGCAAGAAGAGGAAATAGGATGATATTGAAGAAAGAATGAACATGTAGGACAAAGACGACACAACCACATCTGACCATAACGGATCCTAAAGTTGAAGATGCGCCTTTCGCACTTAAACTCGACCCAGATCGAACCCTCGGGTACAGAAGTCCAGGCACGATGTGTCGCGTAAACGATGCACTGAACGACCGAGAAAGAGCCCCGTTTTCGTGTGTCGATTGTGGAAGGCTGATCGCACTCACACGCCTCGGCGACGCTAGGAACGAAAGCTCACGTTGCATGCTGAAAGTGTTCATGAAACGATTTTTCAACCTCTTCCTCCTCGACCTTAATTCTCAACTCAAACGCGAAAGGAGAAACCACGTGGTCGTGACGTGCTGGGGCACCGGAGGCGTTGACTCCAAGCTTCCATCGTCCTTTTTGAGTGCACCATGGGACTTGTCCTTCGCAAGCGACGATAAGTGCCGTCACGGCACTCACGAAATAAAGTTCAAATATTCGTCAACGGATTGCTTGTTGACGAACGCATACGTCCGAGTGATGCGGTGCTCGTGTCTAATGCGTGAGCTGGGGTATGCTGACGTGTTTTGGGCACCGCGCGAATGTAACACAGTGAAAAGGCATAAAGCTTTCGAAGGAAAGGAGCTACAAAATAGTCTGCTCTATTTTCGAATTTTCGTACCGAAAAGCAGGCTTTTGATTTTCTAGCCTCTTGTTTTAGGCCCACTAAACAATACGCAATTACTGAGACCTCAGTATAAAATTATTTAATCCCAGCTCAAAATTAATTTCACGACCCCTTTAAATAGCGCGAATTTAGGTCTCCCTTTTAAGGGTTTTTATTTAAACATGCGTTGCCTTGGCGTGCAAAAACGTTAAACGCCCCAGGTGCAGTCAGGTTGCATGAGTCACTAAGTATGCAACAAAGATATAATTTGCCGTATTGCGAAGCCGACTACGTTCCCGCTGTATAAGTATTCGTGCTCGTATAGCGTTTAGCCTGTTTCAAACATATACACGCGGAACCGAGTTTTCTAACTTGCCAGAGTAGATGGACGAAATCCTATGAAGTTGATTGAATAAATGCTTAGCTCGCATAAAAATAAAACACATCGTCAGTGTGGCCGCGAGCTTAAACAAACGTCCTTTCTTGAGGCTTATAGTCCTTTTAGGGGGTGACTTATAAGGAAACTTTTTCTGCTTCGTGATTCGTTCCTTGGCGCCGCTATCGGCCAGTGTCATAATCTTATTGGTTCCTGAGCGATAATAAGTCAGCGACTGTGCACCTGCAAAATAAATAAATAAATATATATATATATATATATATATATATATATATATATATATATATATATATATATATATATATATATATATATATATATATATATATATATATAGGGTTATTCAAGGAGACGCCAGGCTTTTTAAATCGACCGCATGATTCGGTTTCTTAACCTATCGCGCTACGACTTTGTGCAGTGTTACCCACAGATGGTGCAGGTGTTTTTGTTTGTTTTTTTGTGTGAAATTTGGAAAGAGCGAATTTACCTGAGGAAAAAGTAAAGAACGAAAAAGGCTTAGCTCCTATGAAAACGCAGCGACGCCACCGGTCTTCAAACAACACGGCACCGTTTCGCACGGGAGACAAGAGATGGCGCAAGCGGTCGCGACGCCAATTACATTTTGGTATGGACTAACAAAGAACCGAGACGACCAAGACGCGCAGCACTAGCTAGAGAATTTTTTTATTGTTGCAGCTCGCACCAGTTACGAAAATCTGGATGACCCGCGCATCTAGAATGTTGCAGGCAAAAATATAGATGGAAATCAGGCTGGAAAGCATTACAAGTTGTCACAGGCACTTATTTAGCCAGTCTGCCTGTGAACGTTGATTTCGTCACTATTCTTGCCCTGGACTAGCACCGTAATCACAAAGTCACTAAACGCTTGTGCTTGATTGAGAGACACTGCATTCGGTGCAGAACGTAGTTTTCTTCCTGCTCTGGACACGTCTTAGGATGAGCAAAATGAGTCGTGAGAAAACATTTGAGGGATGTATTTCCGGCCACAAAATTGCATTTAATTACAATTGTATTTGAAATACCCACGTTTTAGTTTTTAAATACACACGTCAAATACATTACACAATTTGTAATTAAATACAAATTCAAAATACACAAAGTATTTGAAATACTGCCCATTCCTGCCCTGTATATATATATATATATATATATATATATATATATATATATATATATATTTTATATATATATATATATATATATATTTTTTTTTTTTAGGAAGCCGACACGAAACATCGATACATAGGCCGCCGACTCCACGGGACTTTGCCTGAAGCCGAGGAAGAGGAAGACACCACCGACGCCGATCAATCCGACTCCTCCCCGGAGCGGGGTGCCGTCAACGAGACCAAACGCCGGTCGCTGGACATATCGAGGCGCGTGTGCAACCTCCAAGTGAACATAGACCACACGCTCTTTCAGAAGTTCTACGATCACGACGAAGATCCAACTTTAACCAGGGAACGGTTGGCGGATCTGATTGTGGCGCACGTGAGACGCGCCAACATCATCTACGGAGCCACGAACTTTGGGGGCATCGAGGACATCAGCTTCGTCGTTCAGAGCATCAAGGTATGACGCCTCGCTGAATTCTATCCGAGGAAGCTGATTAGACATCTCTCGTGCTTTCTTGGCATTATTGCAGTGTGCATTTAGTATTTCTAGTACGGTGTGTTCCAGAAAAAAAAAAAAAAAAAAAGATATAGGGTTCTTTTTCCCTGAAAAGATGCAGGACGCTTCGCCGAACTACTATAGCCTATACGTCCAAATGCAGCGCCGAAGTTTTGAAGGAAATATTAAAATTTTAATTGATATGCTTCGTATAATACCCAAAAAGTTACAGTTCTTGAGGAGCACATTACAATCTTTTGTTAAAAAAAAAAAAAAGAATAACAGAAATTGATAATTTTGTAAATGCGGCCTACAGGATTCAACGCAAAAAAAAAAAAAAAAACTCTAGAGCCGTGTTATATATCATCATCATCATTTATTGGGTGCTTAATCTGTGCTCTAATTAAAGTGATTTTCTCTCTCTCTCTCTCATTTATTATTCCTTGAAGGCCCAGGGGGCATTACACAAGGGAGTGAACACTTAAAAAACAAACAAGTAACAAAATTATTTATCTACGAAAACACGCTGTAATCTAGTTATGGGTTAGAAAAAATAAGCTAATGGCTGCAGAAAATTTTTTAGTATCAGATAAGGTAACAATTACGTCAGGCAGTGAGTTCCAGTCGTCAATGGCCAATGGTAAAGTAGACATTCGGTGAGTGACGGTTGACGATGAAATCGGACGGAGTTTACAAGAATGGTCGAGACGAGGGAAAATGCGGTAAGGAGGAGATAACAAACTTTGTCTGAGATGACTGTTGTAATAAAAGATCCGATGAAGAAGAGAAAGACGAGACACCCTGCGGCGGTGAGAAAGAGTGTCAAGGTTAGCTGATTGGCGAAGTCCTGATATGCTTGCGTATGGGGAATAGTCGGAATAAATAAAACGGAGGGCCCTGCTTTGAACGGATTCCAGGTTGTTAGTTAGGTATGCCTGCCACGGTGACCATATGGAAGAAGCGAATTCTAGTTTAGTTCTGACCAAGGTAGTATAAGCTAGTTGTTTTACCGGGGATGTAGCTTGTCTGAGGTTACGGCGAAGAAATCCGAGACTGCGGTTAGCATCGGCGATGACAGTTGTTATATGAGTGGTCCACGACAGGTCAGATGTCAGATGAATTCCTAGATATTTATACGATGAACAAGCAGTTACTGGGATGCCAGAAAAGTGGTAAGAGGAGGATAGAACATGTGAACTGCGGGAAAAAGATAGCGATTTACATTTATGATAGTTTAAAGCCATTTGCCATTTATGACACCACTGAATTATAAGTTGGAGATCGTTTTGCAAGGTTAGCTGATCGTGGCGTGAATGAATGGGTCTATATATGACACAGTCATCGGCGAACAAACGTACTTCAGAAGTGATGCCATGGTGGAGATCATTAATGTAGATTAAAAAAAGAAGGGGGCCAAGAACGCTTCCCTGAGGGACGCCAGACGTTACTGCGCTTGTGGTAGATTTTATATTGTTAATATATAAAAATATATATTTTTAAATATATATATATAAATATAAATATATATAAAAAAAGAAATATACGCGTTCAACATTTTATTTGCTGCTTGTTGATATTCCATCACTGCCATCGAAAATATTTCCGGTGAACATTGCGATGTTTGTTCGATGATCACTTGTTGCTGGACATCTGCAAGGCGTTTATGCCCCAAAAAGATGGGGATGAGGGCATACTCCGGCTCCCCCAACAATGTTATCGCATTTAACAAAGAAAGAAAGACAACGTGATTTGGCTTTGTCTGTTGTCCACAGATGAACGACACCTCGCACTGCCTCGGACTGTCGAGGATCTCGAATCCCTTCTGCGTCTCTGGCATGGACTCGGCACACATGCTCCACGTCGCCTCGCTGGCCAACCACGACGACTTCTGCTTGTCCTACACCTGGACGTACAGGGACTTCTCCGACGGAGTCCTGGGACTTGCCTGGATCGCCAAGAGAGAAGGTCAGCCAAGCTCTTCCGATCGAGATGGGATCGTCGCTCGAAGAGGCCAATGCAATCGATTAGAAGCAGATATCGCTTTCTTCGCCGCGAATTTGTAATATGTTTGCTTTCTTCCTGACTGAGTATGCCGAGATAATTTCAGAACCCCCGTTCAGACACAGATCTTGGGCGTCGGAAAGGCTCATTCAAAAAGGTTTCGCGAGGAGTAGACCACGCTTGTTATAGGGACTCCGTCGTAGCAAGCCGATCTCGACGTTTGCGAATACTTAATCTCCAATCGGCATAAAGTTTTAATGGGAGATATATGATGACACGAGGAGGACTTCATAGTAACGTTTGTGCAGTAGTGTGTGCGAATTTATTGCGTTTTCTTAAAATTTCATGCACCAACATTGGGCTGAACTGAGAATATCCTGAGTATGCGGCTTGTTTTTTGCTCAATGAAGTAACTCAAACTGAGTGGTGTTCTTAGTTTTGGGTGGTGCTTAGGGCAGAATGACCCTTAGTATTTCAGTGCCTGGGTGGGTGCTGCTCTTAGTTAAGGTGGTGCCTAAGTCAGGGTCTTGTATGGTAACAACAGATTGTATGGTAACAACTCACGCGCGCTTCCCTTTAGCACCACCCGGATACAAGCTTTTACGCTGAATTTTTTTACTCACCAAACGAGGGGAGCGCGCATTCCTACCTTTTCCAGTCTCTCCTCGTTCCGCGCATTCTTTCTACACCACCTGTTTCTGCTCCCCTTTTTAGAGCGCAGCTCTTAGGTGCCTGTTTGCGGCTTGAGCGGCGTCGCCGTCAGCGCCAACATCGGCGTCGGTGTCGCCGTCGGCATAACCGCGCGTTGCATCATGGGACGTTTCCCATATTGACGTCACACGTGACATCACGAGTGACGTCACGAGAATCACGAGGAAGGAGGTGGAGAAGGAAATTTTTTTTGCAAAATCTAGCGGAAAAAGAATTCCAAATTTGTCTGAAAGTTTTTTTTTTTTACTAAATTTAGCGGAAAATATTCCCCGCTAAATTCTGCGGGCAAAAATTCCCCGCTAAGTTTAGCGGGAAAATTTCCCGCTGGATTTAGCAAAAAAAATTCCCCGCTAAATTCAGCGGAAAACGTTCTCTGCTACATCTGGTGGGAAGATTTCCCCGCTAAAACTAGCGGAAAAATTGTCGCGCTAAATTTAGCGGAAAAAAATTCCCTGCTAAATTTATCGGGAAAATTTCCCGCTAAATTTAGCAAAAAATAAACATAGTCCCCACTAAATTTAGTAAAAAAAAAATGTCGCCCTAAATTTAGCGGAAAAAATTCTCCGCTAAATTTAGTGGAAAAAGTTTCCGCTATATTTAGCGGAAATATTTCCCCACCTAATTTAGCCGAAAGAAATTTCCGCTAAATTTAGCGGAAAAAGATTTGGCGCAAAATTTAGCGTACAAATTTTCCTACTAAATTTAGTCGGGTATTTTTGCCACTAAGTTTAGTGGGGATTTTTCTCGCTAATTTTTGCGAAAAAATTTTTCGATAAATTTACCGGGGATCTTTCTTTCGCTAAATTGAACGAAAAAATTTTCCTGAAAAATTTAGCGGAGAATTTTTCTGTTAAATTCAGCGGGAAAAATTGTACGCTAAATTTAGCGGAGAATTCCCCCTGTTAAATTTAGAAGAAAATTTTTCGCTAAATTTATCGGAAAAAAATTTCTCGCAAAATTTACCGAGAAAATTTCTCTGGTAACTTCAGCGGAAGAAATACCCCGCTAAATTTAACGGGAAAATTCCCTTTTTAAATTTCGGGGAAACTTTTTCCCGCTAAATATAGCACGTAATGTTTTTCCGATGAATTTCGCGGAAAATGTAGCGACAATTTCCCGCTAAATGGTAGGGGGCAAGAGACGAGGAGGGAAGGGGGAGGAGGGGCATACTCTCCCCTCCGTACACTCCCCTACTCCTCCTCAAGAGCTGCGCGCTAATTCGGCGTTACAGGGGATTGTAAACATCTTTCATTTTGTTCCTTTGCACCCCTTAAGCGCGATCCAAACCAACGCTTCTTTTTGCGCCTGTAGGTCGTGCGGCTGCGGATGTGACGCATTTCGTGGCGTTTTTGCTGTTTCCGGGCGCGCTTTCTGAGTCAGAACCGTGCGCTTTGGTTTGGACGGGCGAAACTTCGGCACGAGCGCAAAAGCAAAGTACAACTGCGACAGACTGTCCGGTCAGACGGCGAGAGAAAGAGAGAGAGAGAGATCGCATTGTCATGTTGGAAGAGAATAAAAGGGGGGGAGGAGAGGGCAGCCAGACGGCGAGAAACGCGGAGCCGGAACTAGCTTGCCCTCCACCGATTGGCCGGGACACAGGAGCGCCCTACTACGTCACCGCGCGTTTTTGTGCGCGTTGAGAAGAAGTTGAAATCAACCAACTTTCTTGTGCGCGCCCGGAAGGAGCGAAGAAGCGGCGCGACGTCACGAAAATACGTCACATCCGCAGCCGCACGACCTACAGGCGCAAAAAGAAGCGTTGGTTTGGATCGCGCTTTACCGCTCCGCGTGGTTTCTCACACCACCTACGCATGCTCCTCCCGTTCCTGCGTCCTGAATTCGTACATCAGTCAGCAGCGCACTTGGCTTCCACGCCAGTGACCGGGGTATATGCTTATCCCCAGTTGCCGGTTATTTCTATTTCTTTTTATGGTCTAGTAGGGAAACAGACTGGGCTGAAGCCTACACATTCCATGCTTGCACGGCTCCTGAGGTTGGTTCACCCTATTAAGCTATCGCTTTAAAAGCAGGACAGGTGCTGGATTTATCGTAGTAAAGACATGAATCTAAAACGCAGTTTTTAGTTACCCAATCAAAAGGGAACAAAGGCTGCAGCGGACAGTGCAAACACAACACTGTTAGCTCAAATATGACACCGAAACTTTTTTTAAAGCGCAGCTCTGAGGCGTCCGTTCCCGCACGTAGCGGCGTTTGCGTCGGTGTAACCGCGCGCGTTGCATTATCGGACGCCATGGACCTACACATCAATTCAATTCCCCGCTAAATTTAGTGGAGAAACGGAATCGGTGTGTAGGTTTGTTACATTCCATAAAGCAACACTGCACTGCGCATTCCGGTTTTCCGCTAAATTTAGCGGGAAAATTGACGTCATACGACCTCAAGACCAATTCAGCTTTCCCGCTGTATTTAGCGGACAATTGAAGTGCTGTATATCGCCGTCGCCGACGTCACTTCCCGCGCTAAATTTTGCGGGGAAACTGAATTGGTGCTAGGTCACTTGCCGTTCATTTTGCCGCTAAATCTATCGGAAAAACTGTGACCTCATGTGACGTCACAGGCCACGGCTTTACAAAACGCGTCTCCGCGAAATCCGAGGACCAAGCCAAAGAACGTTTCACGTTAAAACAAACACTGTGCGCGTTGCATTCTGGGGCTCCCACCGTACCTTCCTCGTTTCCGCTGGCCTACCATCAAAGAAAAACGAAAGCAAATCAAAATATAAATGTATATATATTAATATTGATGATATAGTGATAAGAGCAAAACATTGTTTGTTTGTTGTTGTTCTTGTTGTTGTTTTTGTTTCGTTTCTGCTTGATGGTAGGTTAGAGAGGACGAGAAGGCTACGGCAATTGTGTGCGGTATTTTTTTTTTTTGTCGTTTTCTTTTTAACGTGAAGCGTTTTTTTGGTTAATTGCTCGGGATTTCGCAAAGCCGCATTTTGTGAAGCCGTGACCTCGGTTTATTGCAAAATCAGAGCACCTCAAGAGCGGCGCTCTATAATTTCGGATTACAAAAAAGCGTAAACGTCCGTATATATATATTTTTCTTTTTTACATTGCTTTTTTTTTTTCTCTGGCGCTTTTGTCCAGCTAAATCTTGGGCCCGTGATTGGTGGGTGATAACCGTCACGGAAGTGACGTCCAGGTTCTGCGAAGCGCCTAAAGATTGCAAATGTGTGTGTGTGTTTTTTTTTTTTTGTTTTTGTTTTTTTTTCCTGCATTTGGCCGTTGAGATAGGCGCGATCTTCTTTGTCTTATCTAGGGGTTCGTTGTCAGAGAGACTCACGTGGATTTGCGAATTATTACTAAAAGTTGGTTCACATATTTGCATCTGCCTGATACCGACTGCACTATAACCGTTTGAGACAGATTGCGGCGAGTGAACGTACCGGCACCCTCGAACACCTCCGATCTAAGTACATTTTAAGGCCCGTCACACTCTTGCGACCTCTTAAAACTGGGTGCCTTGAAACCTCTTACAACGAGGGGACATACAGACACCATTTATTGGGTAGCAGTGTAAACTTGGCCCGTTCCGGCATATTTTCTATTTCTCTCGCGCATTACCCTTTCTTTCTTGGCTCGAAAAACTTTTGTCAACGTCATAAACGAGCCTTTCTTATAGGTATTAGGCACATTTCACCTCGCAAATCCCGCAAAACCTTCGCTCTTGTAAAATGCAGTTCCACAGTCACCGCATAGATGGCGCCATCGTGCCAGTGTGTTTAAAGCCCCTGTATACGGAAAAGTAGCGACATCCTTTGAAGAATGCCGCCTGCTATCTTGGAGCGATCCAGGCGGCGCTACCGTCAACGCGCGAGCTCGAAAGAGCAAAATATAACAATAAGATTGTGCATGAGGGACAAGGAGGGAGTAGGAATGCCTATGCTGTCGGAGTACAGTGCAAGCTACGAGCTCATGTTGCCAATCAAATAACGCCTACTGTGCTACGTCACGGCTTTCACCGTGTTTCTTTGAGCACATTCTTCGAGGCTGGTAGACCGTGACAGTGCGTTTTTGAGCCTGTGTGTATGTATTTTGCGTGTCTTTCAGCCTTTGACTGTGCTCTAACTCAAGTATAGGAAGGCCGTCTGATCTCTTGGAGCGATCCAGGCGGCGCTACATTCGACGCGTGGGTGTAAAAGAGCAAAACACAAAAATAAAAGGTGTGCGCGTCAGAGGAGGAGGGAGAAGATGTCGCTACCTTTTTTATTCAGGGACATTAAGTCTGTTCTCTCGACCTAAAAACTTTTTAAGAGGTTTCAACAAGTCTCGTCTCTCTCCGTCGTACTCGGTTGCAAGAGTGCAAACTCTTGCACTGTGGTCTGTGGGGCTTGACATAATATCTGACAATGCCATAAGCGACCATTTCTCAAAAATGGCGAGATTGCAAGGCAATGGATCACTGTCAAATGCAAATGTGTGAACCGGCCTTGACAGCTTTCAGAATACCAGATAAACAGCGTTTGTGTACTTTTTTGTTTTGTTTCAAGCTGGTTCCGGGGGAATTTGCGAGAAGTACCGAATGTCCGTGGAGCTGGCCCCCGATACCAATAAATACAAAGAGTTCCAGATGAGCCTCAACACGGGAATCGTCACGTTTCAAAACTACCACAACTTCGTGCCCCAGTACATCTCGACGATAACCTTCAGCCACGAGATCGGCCACAACTTCGGTTCTCCGGTAAGTTGTGTGCGGTTTCCTTATCGAATGCTCCTTCCTGTCAGAACATCGCCGCTCCTGCCGTGTAATGCATGTGGCGACCAGGATAATTTTTTTTTTTTTTGTACGTGCGTATTTAGATGGCAGGAGGACAAGAGGTACTTCTAGATGCGAAAACAAATTACCGTCAGACAATGTCGGCGTTCTGATTTATTGATTTATTTCATTACCCTCAGGGCCCATCGGGCGTTACAGAGGGGGGTGGGTACAATGGGTTTAGAAAGTAAAAATGATCAATTCACGGTACAAAAAATAGACAACAACAACAAAACAAAAGAAAAAGTATAAATCAACAAATCAACAAATTGCAGAGTTATAAAAGTAACCATTTATGGCTGCCTTGGAAGCCGAAACAATTTCATTCGCAGCGATGTGTGGGGGAAGGTGGTTCCATTCTGAGCAAGTTTTTGGCAAGAACGAATCAAACAATACGTTAGTGCTGCAATGAGGTATGGCAACTTTGTGCTGGTGATCAACCCGGGATGAAAGGTAGGAAGGCTGTAAAAAGAGTTCCTGTTTGAGCACTGGGTTGTGAAAAAATATTTTATGAAAAAAAGAAAGACGCGCAATTTTTCTTCGAAATATTAGTTCAGGAATACCAGCATTAGGCTTGATTAGTAACACGCTAGAAAGGCGGTTATAATTAGAGTTAACAAAACGGGCTGACAGATTTTGAACAGATTCAATGGCAACAATAAGAATAACGTTACGCTGGATCCCATATTGCAGAAGCATATTCGAGCTTCGGGTGGATGAGTGTACGGTGGAGAAGGAGCTTAAAGGAGCTGTGCAACGATTTTAACGTTGAAAGAATTGGCATCTTCTCCTTTTGATATTGTTCACCCACGGCCGGACTGGAAGCGCGCGCTCTCTTTCTCTTCTTACGGCCTTTGCAATCGCCCGGGAGTCAATGGCATTTTTTCTCCGTATGTAGTTCACTTGCTTGCCGCCAGGGGCGCAACCACCTCACCCCACTCGGAGAGTCCCTTCGAGCTGCTTTGCGCTGGTGTTTGAGCTTCGTAGGTTGTTGTTTTGGCAACGGTTTATTGAACTTCGCTCCAATTTAAGTCACCCTACCGCGTACAAATGTGCATGAAGTTCTGTAACTACTCATTGCACCCCATCTTGAAGATGCGCCAATCCTAAGTTTCTCAGAGGGCATTGACAACAGTCTCTCAAAGCGCTTGGCTGGTTTAATTTGCAACAAGTTCCGCGGTATACTTCTGATTATCCGTGCAAAGATTATCACGGACAGACGCGAAAAATCAGCTGGATATCTGCACAAGCCCTCGAGGAAGCACTTTAGGCTGTAATATGCACTGTGCGAAAATTGTACAGACTACTATACCCTCGTCTAGAGCAGTTGGCCGACTTCATGTGCGGCTTATGAAATGATGATGCAGACCACGGCAATGCATATATTGGGCTTGCTTACATTTCACGAGAATGTACAAATTATTTATCATTTAATTAAAGTTCTTCCACGTAGAAGGGGTCCGTCTCCTCCTGTTCTTGAGTTGCAACAGAAGTCCTGGAGGTAAAGGCGAGTATAGTTTTTCCGCAATCGCATTCGCTGTCTCTACTTACTACTTTTTATTGCCGAATGTCTCGGAGATGTGCGTCAGATATTCACCGTTTTGGTCTCATCAGAAGCGCATTAGATAGTGGCTGAGGGTCTAAACGTAAGGATCAGGTGTCAAAGGCTATAAAAATCTCGGCCGCAAGTTGCGCACGTGACCCGGAAGACGACGTACGAGTTGAGAGGCGGCAAAAACCTGGATCTTTTTCATTTTTTAAAAATAAAAACTAGGGTATCCAGGCAAAGTCTGTTTTCTGTAGTTCACTTCAAAAGTGTCAGGCATCAACTTCCACAATTATTTAAGCAAAGCCCTGAAATTGTTGCACTGCCTCTTTAAGAGAAAAAAGGACTTGAGCAAATTTTCGACGTAAGTAGCCGGGGATGCGGTTAGAATTATGAAAAGTCATTAGTTATGTGAACTCCAAGGTATTTGTAAGAAATGACGTGCTCAAGGGAAATATCGTTAATCTTGTAATCACATGAGAGACAAAGGTTAGGGCGGCGTGAGAATGTCATGCTTTTACATTTGTTAATGTTAAGAGTCACCAGCCATTAATTACACCAGGTAGAAATGTGGTGTTGTTGTTGTTGAAAAACTTTATTGAGTTGAAAGATTTAGGAAAGGGAAGGGGAGAAAGGGGAAGAAAAAGGAGAGAGTGGTTGTGTGCCCCTATTCCGGGGCTCCAAGTGCGGAGTGAACTCGGAGTGCTCGGGCCACGAGCAGCCTCTGCTCGCTAGCCGTCGCGTACTTGAGTCCCGCTTCCCACTCCTCGAGTTTGGGCTCCTCGACTGGAGCCAGTCCTGGGAGGTTCTTGCATGCCCAGACAACGTGATAAACGCCCACCCAGGGCTCACCACAGAAGGGACAGTCCGCCGTGGCGTACCGCTCTGGGTACCACAGATGTAGCTGGATCGGTGTGACGAACGTGTCCGTCTGAAGTCGTCTCCACGTGAACTCTTCTTCTTTCCTGAGACCTTTGGCCGGCCCAGGATATTCTGCCCTATGTGTTTGTAGAACCTTTAAGGCCTCACTGTAAGTGAGCGCACTGTCCAGATCACTCTGGGGCAGAACCGAGTCCCGGTATAACGCACCTCGGGCCGCATGTGGTCGAGATCACATTGGAGAATAGATTGATTGGATAGGTCAGTTATTTGGCGGTAAAAAACGCAGTCGCCAGCGAATAAGTTCATAGAGGACTGAATGCCGTTAGGAAGGTCATTAATATATATTAGGAAGAGCAAAGGGCCTAAAACGGAACCTTGAGAAACACCGGATTTTACCGAAGAAGAAGATAAAGTACAATCATTCACTATTACAAATTGCGTGCGGTTAGTAAAAAAATATTCAATCCATTTTAAGATATTAGGGTCAATATTTAAGGTTGCAATTTTGAGGAGGAGCAAGTGGTGTGAAACTTTGTCTCAACGATTTTGTTTTGGAAAAAAGAAAGAGGAACCAGGGGGGGGGGGGGGGGTAGTTGCGTTAGCCGAGAATCGAACACGGGCCACCCGTGTGGCAGGCAAGATCCTATGGGCGCCAGTTATGTGGGGTTCCTACCTTCCAGGACTCCCCTGCCCCGAATGACACAATACTGCTTCCAAACGTATTTAATTACTCACATTGGCGGGTCTGGGGGCCGGTCATCTCTCTCGGGTATCCTGTGTGTCACGTCCCACTATAAGTCCGCACAGCACCACATTCTACCACTAAAGCTTTTTTCCTTTTTTTTTTTTTTTAGGATACTATTCTTCTATTTTCTCTTGTGCACCGGGGGGTCCACCCATGTTGAATCGCCCTCCGAGGAAGGGGGGTCGACTTTGTTGGGGGGGGGGGGGGGGGTAGTTGCGTTAGCCGAGAATCGAACACGGGCCACCCGTGTGGCAGGCAAGATCCTATGGGCGCCAGTTATGTGGGGTTCCTACCTTCCAGGACTCCCCTGCCCCGAATGACACAATACTGCTTCCAAACGTATTTAATTACTCACATTGGCGGGTCTGGGGGCCGGTAATCTCTCTCGGGTATCCTGTGTGTCACGTCCCATTATAAGTCCGCACAGCACCACATTCTACCACTAAAGCTTTTTTCCTTTTTTTTTTTTTTAGGATACTATTCTTCTATTTTCTCTTGTGCACCGGGGGGTCCACCCATGTTGAATCGCCCTCCGAGGAAGGGGGGTCGACTTTGTTGGGGGGGGGGGGGGGGGTAGTTGCGTTAGCCGAGAATCGAACACGGGCCACCCGTGTGGCAGGCAAGATCCTATGGGCGCCAGTTATGTGGGGTTCCTACCTTCCAGGACTCCCCTGCCCCGAATGACACAATACTGCTTCCAAACGTATTTAATTACTCACATTGGCGGGTCTGGGGGCCGGTCATCTCTCTCGGGTATCCTGTGTGTCACGTCCCACTATAAGTCCGCACAGCACCACATTCTACCACTAAAGCTTTTTTCCTTTTTTTTAGGATACTATTCTTCTATTTTCTCTTGTGCACCGGGGGGTCCACCCATGTTGAATCGCCCTCCGAGGAAGGGGGGTCGACTTTGTTGGGGGGGGGGGGTAGTTGCGTTAGCCGAGAATCGAACACGGGCCACCCGTGTGGCAGGCAAGATCCTATGGGCGCCAGTTATGTGGGGTTCCTACCTTCCAGGACTCCCCTGCCCCGAATGACACAATACTGCTTCCAAACGTATTTAATTACTCACATTGGCGGGTCTGGGGGCCGGTCATCTCTCTCGGGTATCCTGTGTGTCACGTCCCACTATAAGTCCGCAGAGCACCACATTCTACCACTAAAGCTTTTTTCCTTTTTTTTTTTTAGGATACTATTCTTCTATTTTCTCTTGTGCACCGGGGGGTCCACCCATGTTGAATCGCCCTCCGAGGAAGGGGGGTCGACTTTGTTGGGGGGGGGGGGGGGTAGTTGCGTTAGCCGAGAATCGAACACGGGCCACCCGTGTGGCAGGCAAGATCCTATGGGCGCCAGTTATGTGGGGTTCCTACCTTCCAGGACTCCCCTGCCCCGAATGACACAATACTGCTTCCAAACGTATTTAATTACTCACATTGGCGGGTCTGGGGGCCGGTCATCTCTCTCGGGTATCCTGTGTGTCACGTCCCACTATAAGTCCACACAGCACCACATTCTACCACTAAAGCTTTTTTCCTTTTTTTTTTAGGATACTATTCTTCTATTTTCTCTTGTGCACCGGGGGGTCCACCCATGTTGAATCGCCCTCCGAGGAAGGGGGGTCGACTTTGTTGGGGGGGGGGGGGGGGGTAGTTGCGTTAGCCGAGAATCGAACACGGGCCACCCGTGTGGCAGGCAAGATCCTATGGGCGCCAGTTATGTGGGGTTCCTACCTTCCAGGACTCCCCTGCCCCGAATGACACAATACTGCTTCCAAACGTATTTAATTACTCACATTGGCGGGTCTGGGGGCCGGTCATCTCTCTCGGGTATCCTGTGTGTCACGTCCCACTATAAGTCCGCAGAGCACCACATTCTACCACTAAGCTTTTTTCCTTTTTTTTTAGGATACTATTCTTCTATTTTCTCTTGTGCACCGGGGGGTCCACCCATGTTGAATCGCCCTCCGAGGAAGGGGGGTCGACTTTGTTGGGGGGGGGGGGGGGCGAAGGCGGCCACCCCCGTCAACCCCCCACCCCTGGATTCGCCCCTGATGTCTGGACGCAATCGTCCTTCTCGAGTCAGAATGAGCGGCACACCTTGCACCAAATTGCCCTAAATTGCTTCCTCATGAGCCCTACTTTCTTGCAACGTAGGCAAATTTGTGGTTGTCCTCTTGGCACGGAGACCAGCATCGAATTCCCGACGATGTTCATCTGATGTGGAATGGTGTCGACGGTGATGCCTTCACTGAGGGTAGTTTCAGCGATATCTTCAAAGCATGGTCTGCGCCATTTGTCGCGCGTGAAGGCCTTCACTCTCCCGCGGCCTTCGAACGTTTTCTTCACCTCCTCGTTGAACGACATTTTTTTCCCCTAGACCTTCAGCTATTCCATTCGGGCGACCTTTTCCTTTGCCGCGGCGTTGTGCAGGGTCGGCATCCACACATGGAACGCGCTAAAACCAGCGATGACCTTCGTGTCAACCACGCCCCCCAGGGCTCCGCCAAAATCGTCGATGCGGTATGGCCTCGTCGACGGGTCTCCATCAAGGAAAACAGAATTAAAATAGTATCATACCTGAAAGTAGTGTTGGCAAATTAATCCTGTAGTTTTACGACGATGCATAAGAATTAGAAACCGAAGAAACACGGCTAGGGCTAGCCGTAGAAGCAGTTCCGTCGGAGCTCATGGTTTGCACGTCTGCTACCAACGAGTGCAAAAAAAAAAAAAATAAAAAAAAATAAATCAATCTTTTTACCACTGATCTAGCGAATAATTTTTATAATTTTAATAAAAACGAGGAAATAAAAAAAAAACATTAGTTGCGTCGGCCGGGAATCGAACCCGGGCCACCCGCGTGGCAGGCGAGTATTCTACCACTGAACCACCGACGCCGCGTATAAGCGCGCCGCGTCGGCATGCGGCGAACCTATTTTCATAGTGATTTCAATCTAAAATAGACGAGAACAATAATCTTTTTGGCGTCCTATTTCTTATCTTTATATTCAAAATTTCTATTGAGAAAACAACAAGTGAAAGGTTGTGCCAAGGCAATCGTTCAAAGTTTCCCGCGCTTTCTAGTCATGTGACGTCACATGCCAACAGCCTGTTTACAAACAAGCGCGTGTTTGCCCAAACCAGGTGTGGGCACTGCGCCTGCGCAGAAACCGATTTCGCATGAAGTGAAGCGTCTGCGCATGCACAGTGCCGCCGACAGCGCCACCGCAGCTGCCTGACGTCAGGGCCGCGTGTTGGTCTATAATCAAGCAGAGCAGGCAGCCTGAAAAACTTGATTTTGCGCATTTCTTTTTTTTTTCCGTTTTGCTGGCGGGAGCTTAACTACCATGCATTTCATACTATCAAACTTCATGTAACATATTGTAGGAGAAACACAAAATTCTAAGAAGTTTCATGTAACATGTCGGGAACAAGCTGTTATGCCCCCATATTGACCATATTATACAACACCTGACGTCACGTTTTCAGCGTCGCCAGTAGAGCATCTGAGCCTCTCAGACCAAATTTAAAACTTCAGTAACTTCGCGAAAAAAAAAAATAGTGTGACTTGCAAGTTGGGAATGTGTTGAGCCAATTTTGAGGCAGATCCGTGACTATCCGAATTTCGCTGAAGCTCCCCTGTAATGTCCTTACCATCGCCGCTGATTTCTTGCCACCGCAGCACGACGACGGTGGAGCCTGCGTACCTGGTGGCTTCGCCGGGAACTACATCATGTACGCGTCAGCGACCAAAGGAACGCTGCGGAACAACGACAAATTCTCGCCGTGCAGCATCAGGAACATCAGCGACGTTCTGGTTCCTTTCTTCAGCGGTGAAACCAACAGGGAGAACTGCTTCCAAAGTAAGCAGATCTTGGCATCCATCTATCCATCTATCATGGATGGATGGATGTGAACGGCCATGGGCGGTAGCATGCGCCACCTAGCTTAGGATATGCCATCCCAGTGGCGTCACTAGGAAGGGCCCGGGGGGGGGGGGGGGGGGGGGGGGGGGGAGGGTCGGATTGTCCTGCGTGCAGCGCTCAGGAGGGTGCACCGCTTGGCAGTGAAAAAAAAAAGGGGGGGGGGGGGGTTCGTAGGCGCAGCGGCCAACTGCACTGGGTGCCGCTAATCATAATGACGCCAATGTGCCATTTTTTAGTATCTAACCATTTTCTGACATAATATTTTCTCTCTCTAACTCTCGCTCTCTTTTTTCCTCTGAATGAAACACGCAACTGGCCTCCAGCTCGAGCTCTTCTAGTTGTTTCTTTCTTTGTGCTTTCTTCTTGTGCGATTGCATGCTTTCGGCATCGCCACCTCCCTAAAAAAGATGGCCTTGAGACACTTTGGCTATAATTAAATTTCAGTCATTTTTAGCGAAGTGAACGCTCACGCGTCTGTGCATCTTAAAATAATTAAAAGGAAAAACGGCACGGTGCCCAAACCTGGTGTAGACAAGCCGACGTCACGCCGGTGCCGTGGCACTGCTGTCTGCACGGCGGACGCGCAGATGCTTTACCTCCAACAAATCTGGTTTCTACACACGCGTAGTGCCCTCACCTGACGTGGACTAACGCAGGCTTGTTCGTAGACAGCGCATATGGACCCTTTTCTTTGCAAACGCCTGGTGGCGTTTGCAAAGAAAATGCCACCGCAGGGGGCGGTTTGCTCATCTCGCGGCCGCGGCCGCGGCTGCGGCTAAGAGGGATTTTTATGTCAGGTGACCTGCTTCATGGGGACAAGGAAGTACCTAGCGTTCCTGCCTAATGGCGGAGAAGTCCGTGCCGCTTCCAGTACAAAAAAAAAAAAAAAAAAAATTTCGCTCGCAGAAACTGACTGCAGGGGCTTTCAACTGTAGTCCAATTAACCGCCCCTTTGTACTTTAGGAGCGGCAGGTAAAGTTACGGCCAGGAAAGGTAAATATGAACTAAGAGAAAGAAAAAATCGCGCGAGATGAAAGCGGTGGCAGTATAATTATATACTCGTGCCATCCCCGCAGACTTGATTCTATGCTGTAGTCGAGAGGAAAATAAAGAAAAATACGCAAGTAGTCAAGAGGGAGGAGCGTCCGGACTTGTCGTCGCGACGTGAAAGTTCCGGGTTCGCATCGTGCCAGGAATTTCCTTCTGTATGTGCGCTTATTTTGTGGAAGTTTTTTTTTTCTCTTTAATTGACACAGTTGCAGAGTGTATTAGTACTAAATAGGCGCCTCCTGTTATTGAAAAGAGTTGTAGCAAGAACGTTGTATAGTTAAAAACAAAGTGTACTGGGTGTCCCAAGTAGCGGCCAGGCTCTTTAAATCGACCGCGAAATTCGGTTTCTTAACTCATCGCGTTACGATTTTGCGCAGCGTTGCCCACATATGGTGCTTTTTTTTTATATATTTTTAAAGAGCTGATTTACTTGAGGAAAAAGTAAAGAAAGAAAATGGCTTAGCTCCAACGGAAACTCAGCGAAGCCACCGGTCTTCAAACAATACGGCGCCGATTCGCACGGGAGACAAGAAATGACGCAAGCGGTCGCGACGCCAACTGCCGCCAACGAACGAGCATACAACACCGAGAGCCGGCGTCTTTAGCAGACGATCTTTTCGACTGAAAAGCGGCGCGAGCTTCTTTCATATCAGTTGCCAGTGCCTTATTTTATCATCCTAACTAAAAAAAACACATTGAATGGACACATAATCGAGTAAAAAATAATTTGCCGGCTTTTTTTAGCTGTTTTTTTTTTTTTTTTTCGTGGTATTTATGTCGTCTGTTTTGCAGTTCCTTGTTACCGCGCCTATTTTTTTTTTTTTTCGACTTTTGCCGTCTGCGGAACGCGCGCCGCTTTTGAGTCGAGAAGATCGTCTGCTAAAGACGCCGGCTCTCGGCGCCGTATGCTCATTCGTTGGCGGCAGTTGGCGTTGCGACCGCTTGCGCCATCTCTTGTCTCCCGTGCGAAACGGTGCCATATTGTTTGAAGACCGGTGGCTTCACTGCGTTTCCGTAGGAGCTAGGACTTTTTCTTTCTTTACTTTTTCCTCAGGTAAGTTCGCTATTCGCAAATTTTAGAACACAAATGCACCATCTTGGGGCAACGCTGAGCTATCAGCTCGCGCGACTGCTGATAGCGAGCCATGCGACACCATCAAGATTGCCCGGCCGTCTTGAGCTCGCGTGACACCATCGAGATTGCCCGATCTTGAGCTCGCGCGACACCATCGAGATTGCCGGTCAGAGCAGCCTATTAATGTGAGCTCGTTCTGAGCATGACCACTGAAGTAGGCGATGGAGCAGACGATGTCGCAGACGATCGTGCTCATCCGGGCTACCTAGGGGGCGTTGGGGGGGTCTACTAGTGATGACGTTTAGAGGACGAAACGCACAGGCCTTGTGTTCTAGGTGGCATTGGGAGAACGCGAGGAGGCACGAGCTGTCTCGTGAACCGGTGTCTGCCTCCTATGAACAACAGTTTGGCGGCGTTACGCATGCGTGGAACGCTTAGTGAGAACGGTCTATTCAACAGGCGAACGCCAAAAAACCAAGAAGTGCGAGATCTGTCCAAATTCTCCAAATGTTCTGGTAAACCAACTTGCCTCCTTTAAGACGTTAAATCGTAAAGTCGGAGGCCTTCGCTAAATCTCCAACTTTTTTGTCGGTGTAGCATTTATGCTCTCTAGCACTGGTGACATAAGCAAGATCCACAGGCTTGCAAAGACGGTGCGATCGGAAGTCGCTTAGGACGCAACCAGCGGTTCATGTTTGTAAATAGACCCTTCCAAAAGAAGGACTCCTGGCGGGTTTCATTTTCAATATTCGTGCGTATAGCGCGTGATTTGCTCGCTTTCCGAAGCGACGAACTTGCGCGCGCTGGGCTGAGGATTTGGAAATATTGAAATGGTATATAAATCTAGGAGGTGCCAATTTCTCTGCACATTGTTGCTTGCAGCACACTGCACGAGCTTGCGCGTAAGGGGCACTAGTGATTTCCCAACACACCACCTAAGGGGGGAGGGGGTGCCCTTGCTTTTCAGAAGGCGCCCCCTTCATTCGCGACGCCTCCTCCATTCTCAATGCCTCCCCCTAACTCCCCCTCCCCCTAAAAATTTAAACACCCCCCTAATTTTAATTCCTGGGGAAACCCCTGAGGGGCACCAAGCAGTCGGAGCAATGCTTGTAATATACAAGCGCGCCTTGGTGTCTCCGTGGCAGAGAACAGCGGACCTATCTGCGGCAACGAGATACGGGAAGGTGACGAAGAGTGCGACTGCGGCGTGGACGAGTCCGAGTGCCACGACAAGTGTTGTCACCCGCGGCGCAGCGCCCCCGGGCATAAGGGATGCACACTCAAGGACCCCGCCGTATGCAGGTGAGACTGTGGGAGACACTGAGGTCAACTAAAAGTTTGTTTCCGACGGGATTTTGTGCGTAAAGGACATGAATTTATATGGCTAAGTCAAAATCTAAGGTCATTGGAGCCCCTTATGCCAGGGAGCTACTTCTGTACGGAAAATCTGCGACCAAATTACCCGCAAAAGTGAGCGGCGGCGCACGAATCCAGATGAAATTATACTCCACGCACTCGCTGGGTTACTCGGGCCTTCCTGGTTGCATTTCCATATCACTGCTATACCACGAAAGATATTCACATCAGTATTAGTTTACTGGGTCGCTATACTAACCGCATGGTAAGCCAATCTATGTGATTAGCGTGTCATGTAGTTACAATTCTTCATGAAAGGTTAGACGTAAGGTGACCTCGAGTTGTTTGCACACAGAAACCGACGCAACGAGCGCAGTGTGTGTGACGCTCTCATTGCTTTACATTTAGTACTGTTAGTACAAGGAGTCTCATGCAAGAAACAGTATTCACATCATCTTCGTTTGAATCAGTCATCGGCTATCTCTCGGTAAACAACTCAACCCAGCAGTCATAACTTGCGTTGTTATTAAATTACCAAATTATAAGAAAAACTAGAATTTTTTTTTTTTTTTTTTTTTTAGCAGTTTGGTTAGAACACGCGTGTCAAGAAATACGTTTTACGCGAAAAAAAAATTTAGAGCAATATTGGCGGCGAGAGATTCACTTGAAATTCTGCGTTTGAAGTCCATGACGTCACGGATCATTCCGGAATGACCATCTCGGCCGTGAAGGCGAAGCCGATCCACCTCTCTGTCACGATCCTTCTGGAATCTAGAACGTGGACGAAGCCGAAGCACCCGCCGAGAAGAGACAACAAGCAGCCTGGTTGTGAGGGTGGACGATGACTGGCCGGGGCCGCCGGGGCGGCGTGCGCTCCACGGCGTTCATTCGGCGCGGTGATTAATGTTGCCCGCCGAGCCTGGCGGCCACAAACGGGCGGACTGGAGGGGGGCGTTACATACTTGTCACAGTTACTCTAGTCACACTCCACTCCACGCGCCCGAAATGCTGAGAGAGAAAACAAATGGGGAGGAGGTGACTGCCGACTAAATCGCGTCTCACGCCGTCAATATTTCTCTAAAAATATTTTTTGTTCGCGTAAATTTATTTTTGACACACGTGTCCCAACCAGAAAAAATCTTTTTAAAGGCCTTTGAAGGTGAGGTAGTTGGATAAGAATGTATCAGCTGAGACTGGTTGAAAGAAAGCACTGCCAAAGCCAGCGCACGCTCTGAGCAGGACTTCTGCCGCGTTTGAAGATGCTCGCGCGCCCTAGCCTTTGCAGAGCTTTCTTTGACCCAGTCTCAACTAAGACGATGCTCTGGCAAGCCGGCCTGGTGTGGGCAAACGTGTACTTGTTTAAAAAAAAAACAAAAAAACAGTTTGCTGATCTGTACCCGAGGACAAAACACTGCAGCTGTTGCAGTAATCGTTTCCGCAGTGCTCTCCATTGTTT